GAAAAAATATTTTATTGAAAAAGTACAAGTCCAGATGAAGCTTAAGTTGTTCCATACAATCACAGACCAAACATTTGCAACAAGTTGAACACGGTGGAAAAACAAACTTTCAAAGCAAACAACACAATCATACTTGTTGTCAAAGAGTCTGAAAACCTTTGAGTTTACTTCATGGTAAAGAAAAAGCACAACATACTTTAATTACACTTTAAATACAAATTCAAAAACGAATTTATTCTGAATTCAAAGAAAAAGTTTGTCTCATTCAGCAAAATTCAACCAAAAGAGAACATTTACATTTCAACATGTATCTTGATCCTTCAGTAATTGAGTCTTCTTCAGAGAAGAAATAAACGTACGTCAGGTTACACGTCGTGTACAAATGCGCAAGTCTGTATACAGCATGTTGAAAGGGAACAATAGCTTTTCAAAACTATTGTCCACATCCTGGTCTAATGACACTTTTCTACTTCTATCATCAGACACTGGTTTTCAGTAGCAAGTTTTAGTTTTTCAGAAACATACATTTTTTACACAAGGTTAAGTATTTATTTACTTATTTTTTTACTTTGGCTCATAATTATTTCAAAACAGACAACTAAACCTGAAATTACCACAAAATCAAATTAGCATTAAACGTCTCAAAAGAGTTGCATAACGGGGAGACCACTAGGAATGGTATGGAGTAGACGTACGAGCCACGAGGTCCCAACAATTTCGCTTAAAAACACGTGAGCGTCAGACCTGCTGTCTGCTTCAGAGGTATATCTGAGCAAATCCAGGGTCTCTTTTTTCTTCAGAACCTCATGTAAGGACTTCAAAATAGGTACATATTGGAAACTTTTCTTCTCCTTAGCACTGAGAAGATACTCTATAGGTTCTACCATGGAAAAATGCTCCTTGAAATACTCTCTTCTTTTGTAGGAGGTGGAAAGAAGAGCATTATGTCCTAGAGCTAATGCAATTGGGTTAGATTTGCATAGTTCTGTCACCATCTCTGAGATGATCAAATCATCAACCTCACAATTATGCTTCTTCAAGCATGACTGTAAAATATCTTTTAAAAGAGGACCTGAAGCTGATGAAGAAATAAAGTGTAGTTCTTCTACCAACTCTAGATACACCTTTGTGGTACATTGAATATGCTTTCCATTTTCAGCAGCATGTGGGCTAATTTTTTTCCCATTAAGTTCGGCAGTTCTCTCATTTCTTCATCTTCAGGATCTTCACTCACTGTACCCTCCATACCCTCCTCAATAGGAACATCCCCTGTATTTGAAGGATTAACTTGCCTCTGCAAGAGCTCAGGCTTGAAGTCATCCAGAGAATGAGGAGTGTGTTTCTGACTCCTAATGAGAGGCAAATGTTCCGTAAATGTTTGTTGTGAAAAACCAGTTTTCAAAAACACAAGACACAGTTTCCTGCTTTTTTTAAATGACGTCCACTGTGTTCAAAGTATTCTTTCTGTGGCAATGGTGTTTAAAGAGCAACACGAACATTTCAAAGATAGAACGTCTGTGTGTGTCCCTGTATCAAGACTTGAATGGCTTCTTGACAGATGGGTTCTCAGGCTTTAAACGAGCAGTAACACTCCCAATAGAGGCAAGGGAGAGATTCTTCACCATGACCATGTTTAAGCCGATAATGCTTTAAAAGATCAGTTCTTCTTGACATTTCAAATTTGCAAATTTTACAAGTCCAATTCATGTTTAAAACTAAGCAAAGTTCTGTTTAACCTGCCAGAAGTTGTGGTAACTACACACACATTCAGAAAATGCCAAACTTCTCACAAGCACAACACAAAGTGACCCAGGCCTACTGCAGCCGGACTAAAACAAACCTTTTCTGTAGTGTTTCTTCAATATCAGATGAGTTACACAGTGCACACAAACACAGACCAACACCTATTACAGTCCATTTAAGTAGATAAGACCCGACCGTTTGTGCCCAAGCAACATCTACTGAACAGTACATGCTTATTGCACATTTCACAGCAAAAGGTTTTTAAAAAGCCTTTAAGCATCAGTGCAAAAGTTGATTCTCCTCAGTCCGTTGCGCCTGCCTTTGTTTAAGAGGAGCAGTGACCAAAAGACAAAATATGTTTAAGCACTAACGAATCAGAAATTCATTGTAACTCCAATAAACTGGGAGGCCTGTTGCTGAACATGTGTCAGCAGACGTCTGTGATCAGCAGCAAACAATAACAGTCAGAGAGGTGAATGTTTCTGCTATTGCTGAATGACCTCCAGCTCCACAGAGACAACAGGTTGGTCAAGGCCCAGTGGTCGAGTCTGTACAACAGCAGCGGACCCATCAGCGCCTCATGAAATGAAACTAAATTAAATTAAAAATACTTTATTTAGGAAAATTCAATTGTGTCATTCATGTCCAGTTGCGGTACATGTACAGGCCGGAGAAGAACAGGTTGGCGGTCAGGCTCGCTAATAACAGTCCTGGCCAGATGAAACGCTTCATAAAACCTGAAGAGAGAAAGCACATTAATGTCATGACAATCATCGGTCACTGTGCAGAATAAATCTGGCGTGAAGGTTTTCTTTTTCTGTTCCGTGAAAAAGTATTTACCCCCTTCTCTCATTCTTATTTTCTTGCATAGTTTCCCCACTTTCATGTTTAAGATCATCAAACAAACGTAAATATCAGACAAAGATAACCCAAGTAAACACAAATGCAGTTTTAAAACGATGATTTTACGCACTAAAGAAAAAAGAAAAAAAAAAAACCCTGTGTGAAAAAATAATTGCCCCCTAAACCTAGTAACTGGTTGGGCCACCCTCAGCAGCAACAACTGAACTCGAGTGTTGTCTACAGCATTTCAATCGGATTCAAGTCCGGACTTTGACAAGGCCACTCCAAAAACCTTCATTTTGTTTTTAAGAGTGTGTTTTGGATCGTTGTCCTGCTGCAGAACTAAAGTGCGCTTCAGCTTGAGGTCACGAACTGATGGCCCAACATTCTCCTTTAGGATTTTCTGGTAGAGAGCAGAATTCATGGTTCCATCAATCACAGCAAGTCGTCCAGGTCCTGAAGCAGCAAAGCAGCCCCAGACCATCACACGACCACCACCATGTTTGACTGCTGTTATCAAATCAAATCAAGTTTATTGTCATTTTGCTGTACATACACAGTAGTACAGGCAAGATGAGAGAGCGTTTCTTCAGGATCCAATAACTTAAAGCAATTTAAATAAAGAATTGTTTGCATATCTGGATCAGCAGTTCAGCATTCTGACAGCTTGTGGAATGAAGCTGTTGATCATTCTGGAGGTTCTTCCTTTAATGCTTCGGAAACTGATGGTAGCAGTTCAAACAGTTCATGGAGAGGGCATGAGGAGTCCCTGACAGTGTTCATTGTCCTGTTCCTGCAGCAGCTCTGGAAAAGTTCTTAGACAGAGATGAGGGAAACTCTGATGACCCTCTCAGCTCCTCTAACTATCCTCTGCAGGTCTTTTCTGTCTTACATACTGGAGTACCAAGTTGAGATGCAGGATGTCAGAACGCTCTCCACCACACCTCTGTAAAGATTTCTGAGGATGCTGGCAGGAAGAGAGGCTTGTTTCAGCTTCCTCAGGAAATGTAGTCTCTGCTGGGACCATTTCTCGGTGTTCATATTCCAGCTCAGGTCCTGCGAGATCTGCACTGAGGAACTTGATGTTCTCCACTCTCTCCACTGTGCAGCCGCTGATGCTGAGGGGAGCATGCTCAGGACGTGACCTCCGAAAGTTGATGATCATCTCCTTCGTTTTGTCCACGTTGAGCAGCAGGTTGTTCTTGCTGCACCAGCCCTCTAGGTGTTTCACTTCATCTCTGTCCACTGATTTTTTGTTCCCGCAAATACGTCCCACTACTGTGGTATCATCAGCAGAAGTGATGATCTGGATCCCCTCATGTGTGGCTGCACAGTCGTATGAACAATAGTGGACTGAGTACATAGCCTTGAGGAGATTCAGTGCTCAGCGTGATGGAGTTGGAGATGTTCTTTCCGACTCGGACAGACTAGGGTCTTTTGGTCAGAAAGTCCAGGACCCAGAGACGTGGCAGTATCCAGGCCGAGTAGGAGGAGTTCCTCGATTAGTCTCTGGGGGATGATGGTATTAAACACTGAGCTAAAATCAATGTACAGGATTCTAGTGTAGGTGTCTTTATTTTCCAGGTGGGTGATGACTGAGTGCAAGGTGGTGAATATTGCATCCTCTGTGGAGCGGTTGGGATGGTAAGCAAACCGAAGGGGGTCAAGCAATGCAGGAAGGCTGGCTGTGATGTGTGGTTTGACGAGCTGTTCAAAACACTTTATCACAATTGGTGTCAGTGTGATGGGGTGACAGTCATTCAGACAGAGGCTACAACTGATTTCTTTGCCACTAGAACTATGGTGGATGTTTTGAAGCATCTGGGGACAACGGCCTGACTGAGGGAGATGTTGAAAATGTCAGTCAGCACATCTGCCAGCTCATCAGCGCAGACTCTGAGCACACATACTGGGATGTTGTCCAGTCCTGTTGCTTTTCGTGGGTGGACCCTGGCTAGGGTCCTCCATGTGTCTGCTGCGCTGATGGTGAAAGTTGGCCTGACAGATCAAGGAGAAGGACCAGTCCTCTCTCCGATTGTCAGGTTTGATGCTTTAAAACGTGCAAAGAAGTTGTGGAGCCTGTCTGGAAGAGAAGCGTCATCGTCGTCGACCCCCTGCCTGATCTTGTAGTCCGTCAGTGCCTAGACTCCCTGCCACATCCTTCTGGTGTTTCCTGTGTCACAGAGGTGTTCCTAGATTTTCTCTGCGTAGGTGCGTTTCGCAGCTTTGATCCCTTTTGAGAGCTCAGATCTGGCTGAGTGAAGAGCAGTCCTGTCTCACACCCTGAAGGCTGCATCACAGGCCGTCAGCAGCGAGCAGTCATCCAGGGTTTTTGGTTTCCACGTGCTGTGAAAGGTCTTAATGACAGTGACATCCTCTGCACACTTTGCGATGTAGCTGGTTACCGCCTCAGCATAAATGCAGCAAAATGACAATAAACTCAATTTGATTTTGTTGCAGCTTTTTGAGATCTTTTAGCCAGCTTCACTTTGTCAGACAGGTTCTACTTAAGTGATTTCTTGATTGAACAGGTCTGGTGCTAATCAGGCTTGGATGTGGTCAGTGAAATTGAACGCAGCTTTCCAAAAAAATTGATTAGCCACAGTTAATTCATGATTTAACAAGGGGGGCAATTACTTTTCCCCACAGGGCCAGGTAGGTTTGGATAGATTTTTTCCCTTAAAACATTATTTAAAAACTGCCTTTTGTGTCTACATTGGTTGTCTTTGTCTAATATTTAAATTTGTTTGACGTCTTAAACATTTAAGTGGGGGAAATATTCAAAAACAAAAAGAATGCCAGTTAATAGATTTCAGTTGCTGCCTCTGCTTGAAAAAATATATAAAATTCAAAACAATAAAAGATGCAGCTGAGGTGGGCGGTTGTGTACTGGACTACACTGAAAACTGCTTTGCCCCTCTTATGTTTGTTAAAAGGGTGGAAAGGAACCTTTGTGGGGTTCAACTGTGCCCCACACAGAATTTGCTTTAAGAGAGAACTCAGCCATTATGAACAGCAATCAACAGCACTTTCAATGTATTTATGAGGACGCCTTAGATGTTTTGTATTAGACTAGACTAAGGCGATGTTATAAAATAGGCATGACACCGCAAATGCATGTGAAGATGGACACAGCATCCATCTTCGTGCTCACCTTTTGGAGGAGGGATGCCCTCTAATCCCTGTGTTGTCGTGCCAACCAGGCATGCAGAGGACCCCGAGGAGCTGCTTTGCTTTGCGTCCCCACTGATCACACTTCCATCTCTTAACAAGGAGCTTAAATCTGAAAAGTAATGGCACTGAGTAAATTATAAAGCCCTGTATAAAACCATCTAAAAAGGTGGTTGCAAAATCCCCTCTCTCCCTATAGAGCCTCAATGTGGAGGATTTGAAAAATGGTTTACTTTGCCATCTGCTGGTGGCAACAAGTATGACACTGAGGCAATGTATACTGCTGCAAGACCCCCCCCTAACAAACACTGTAACAGCTTAAACCTCAGCAATACTTGCCATTTTGACTTTGGAAGGGTGATGTGTCAGGTGAAAACCGGCCACTGTATATTGAAGGAGTCGGCTCTGCAAAGAAATGCGATGGAGACACAGGCGGGGGCGTCAATGTGGGTTCTGGCTCCGTCGAGAAAAGCCGGAGTTTCTGGCCGCTGATGTTGAGGCGAGCAGGGCAGATGAGGGGACGCCGTAGTCTGGCAGAACCTGAGCTGGATGTAACCGAGCCAGCTACTGAAGGAGTTGGAGAGGGACCTGGGGATGAAGGGCGGCTCTCAGACTTTAGTGAAAAGTAGTCTGTGCAAAAAAATAAAGAAACACATCTTTAAAAAGCAGAAAAAAAAATGTCCAGTGATCTGAAAGAGTTAGGAATCGTTTGAAATGCGAGGCTGAATGGAGAGCACAGAATCCCCAGTTTTAATACCTGAAGACGGTGAGTACTGTGAAGCTGGTCTGCTTCCACTGAACAGGTGACCAGAATCTGAAAATAAGATAAACATAACATGTAATCACAAGAACCAGGGCTTCCCTTTATACTCCATCAGTCTGTTGTGCAGTCAGTGCTACTTGGCTGAAAACAACTCTAAATACAAGCACGCTGCTCGGTTTCTGTTCAATCTAAAAGTGAAACTAGGCGACTTTGTGGCAACACGTTACATCACAACAACAAAAACTTAAGTATATTCAGTTTACGATCACTTTACGACAACAGATGAATATGAGAAAGTCTTCAAGCTAGAACTACAGTTTTTGTAAATGAAAAAACAAGTACAAGCCAGAAATTGATAAGCAAAACAGTTTTCTGTCCATCTATTACAATTGAAAGGCAGCTTTAAATGGATACTGCTGCATGACATGTCTTCCATATTCAATCTTAAATGCATATCCTTACGCAAATTCACCTTTAAAAATATCTATAAATAGAAATAAATGTGATATGTCTGAGGCCAGCTATAAGCAGAGTCTCATTAATCCAAAACTAGTCAGACAGCCCTGACACTTTTTTGTTTACTGTAATGCTTTGCGTGAGTCAGCATTAACCATACAGCGCACGTAATCTCTACTGTGAAAGCCAGGCCGACGAATATTCCTTTTTCAAGAGAACAGTGAGTTTAGAAACTGTTGCATGACCCAATTATACCACCGAGAAGTACAAACTGGATCTTATCAATTATGAATCTTGTCTGTATGCAAAGTAGTACATTGCAAGAAGCAACTCAAGATCAAACATGTCGGAGGGGAGCCAACAAGAACTGTAAGCAGAAGTAGGCTGAGTATTCCCGCTTGCCTCTGAAGGGAGTCACGAGCTACTTCAGGAATTTGCATTTATAAGTCAGCCAGCCGTGCCAGTTTTTTGAGTTGTTAAACCCCAAATAAAAGACCCGACACTAAATCAGTGCAAACAAGGCGTCTCGAGATTATGTTAAAAGGCACAGCAAGATGTGCAAATGTAAGATAATTAACCGTTTTTGGTCACAAACTCTAAAGGAATAACTTTGGCGTTACCTGTCCTGGTGAGAGAGGGGATGGTGCCGAGGCAGAGGGCTCTGCTGAGGCGCCCGGGCAGAGAGGAGGGGGACGCCTTGCGCTTACGAGGACACTGTTGGTGGTTGATGAGCTTGGACAGGTTCGGGGGCGGCATGGGGATGAAGGACTCCGCCAGGTCAGGAGAGTATGACGGTGGCTGGATGCTGAAGGGGGCACCTGCTGAGCTGCCTGCAAGGTGTCTGCCTGGAAGGTATCTGCAACACAAGAGCAACGTAATGTTCTACTACCTGAAATCAAAACGACTCAAAACCGTCAAAAGGGTGTCTATGATGCAGAAAAAAACAAAACAAAACAGTATACTGGCTGCAAAAAAAATACTGAAAATGACGACAGAATTTTCTATTTGTATTTTCAAGTGCATGTGACATTAGAACTATATCAGTGTGAGACATGTCAGGAGTTAAACCAGAGGATAAACTTCGCACCACACGACTCTGATATCCAGTTAATGTGAGCCCTTGACTCCTGGCGGCAGTCTATGACAAGGCTGCCACTGAAATGCTGCTGCAGCTGTCTGACAAGACGCAGCAGCTGCAAGTGCCTCCTGAACAAAAGCTCACAGAAAAAAAATGCTGCCCAGCAATACAGCTCAGCACAGAGTCAGTGGTGCATGCAAAGTCGTGTCAATCAAGTTTTGTCTTTTTAAAAAGGAAAAAAAACGAAACAGAACAGTCCTGATTGTTTACATTCTCCGGTACTGTGGAGGAAGGATACTGTTTCAAAAACTGGACAGAGACAAACAAGATGACAAGAGAGTGTGTTTGCGTAGTCGAAAAACACGCGGAAGGCGTATCCTTTCACCAGTTGTTTATTATCTTCCGTGTACAGCAAACATTACTACAAAGTATTACAAGCAAGATACCCAATGTAAGCATTGAAGCACCCAGCACACAATATGATTCATTGAGTATGTTGCAGGAGAGTTTTCAGCGAGGACGGAGCTTCACTTGTGAGGCTGCTGTAGAATACTGGATCAAATCGAGATCAATTGCTGAAATTGTGTAAAAACTATAAAGATTTGGCAAACTACTGAGTCTTAGTGTTTCTACAACCCACATTGCAGAAACACAATCACATTTGTTAGCTACAAACTTGGCATCAATGGTTGCACAGAGCAGTAAAAACATCAAGGGCTCCACTAGGAAAAAGAACACCACAAAGTCGGTTTGTGGTCATAATTAGTCGCATATCGTAGCTTATAATTAACACACTAGTTTAAATGTTGTGCTTGTAGAGCTAAATGCTTCACACAAAGTAATAGTTTTACAACTCATCAGGTTGGTACAGTAATTCTCTAGAAACATGCAGAAACTAACACACACATTCGGAGTAGATATTATGCATCAGAGCATAAACAAACAAGCACATGGGAGGTTCATAGCAAACAAACCTTTCAGCAACACATGTAGAACTTTGGCAAAGATTACATTTCAAGCTGTACCTTACAGATAAAAAAAAAAAGTTAAATATAAACCATATCATAGGGCTGAACAATTACTCAATTTCAAATTAAAATTTAAAGTATGCACTTCGTAAATCACATAGGCTGCAATCTAGAATGGATGTTGTGCAGTGCATCTGAGCCAGGGTTCAAAGTCTGGTCAGTGGTCTCCTAAATACATGCCATCCTCCTTGTGCGACAGTCACACATTTGAACTCATGTAGTCATGCTTCAGAATAGGTTTTAAATCCATTACAGTTAATATTAAACTGAAGCTAGACTTTACAAATAAAAAGCACATTGCTAATGTAATTGTAATGTCTGTCAGAAGAATTTGATATTATTCCTGAATTGTTCAGCCCGACTGTAATATCATTGAGTATCTTCTTAGTTTCAGGACACACAGCGAGGTGAAGACCATTGTGAGCTTCTGTGAAAGTCTATTTAGGACATCTCACAACTTGTCTCCAGTATAGCATTCTTTGCGCGACGTGCTTTAGTTTCAATGAAATATTATATAAGATGCAGTTTGCCATGTGTTACAGTTTGTATTAACGTCTCCAAGTCATCACTGACCTCTAAAGCATAATGAGCCAGTTGAGCCCCTTTCATACATATCCTCCTTGCTTAATAAAGGATGCATATTTTGAATGATTTTCATGATCGGCAGCGCTATTCATCAATAGCAAATTAGTTGACAACATAAAGTGAGTGCAACAGACATTATTTGATATCCCATATAGTTATTTTTGCCAATGGGCTTCGTCACACATGCCATCTAGCTGTAGGAATGCTGTTCTAGTAGCCTGCAGCTCTTCTTAAAAACTCTGGCCGGTAGGCATTAACCACCACTGAAGACTCTGTCACAGTGTCCCCATGCTGCCTAAATGTGCACAGTCCTCTCTGCGTAGCAACACTGAACTGCCTGTAGTGCCAGCAATGACTGCTGCTTGGGCAGTGTCGCTACAGACACCCGCCTGGTGGCACAGCCAGGTACTACAGCTGAGCTACAAAACACTGTCTGGCATGCAAGTCGTTCATCTTCTGCCTTATCGGTTAATATATTTATTACTTGTTAAATTATTCAAGGATCAATCATTTACATCCCCATTTCTTATAATTAATTGGACAGCCCTCTGAACACGTTGGTCCCATGTCTGAATGAGCACACTGGTATCGTTACAGCTAAAGTCGTAACAGTCAGACCTTTGAAAATTTCAATATCCCTTTCAACACAACCATGTTAACTGTTGTATTAACAGATTAGCACACAAAGGCAATGCACTTCCAAGTTGTGAGAACCAACTGGGTCAGGCTTTTCCCCGTTTCAGCGCCAATACTGGTCTCATTCACTTTGTCCTACAACTTCACACCTCCTACAAACGGAAATATCCATAAAAAGTGGACACCGTGGCATCAAACAGAAGCTAGATTAGATTTAGTCTTTTGTTTATGCACTACTATGCATTATGCCACTGTCCTGTTCAGCTTCAATGTATGACAAAATGAGTACTGTGAGGAACATTAATATAAAAAAGTGACCTATGTCAGAATGATATGTGACATTTCTGAAAGGGGCTTATGATTAATTAATGCTGTGGCTCTTCTGTATTCAATTTTTAACAGAGGTAAAAAAATAAAAAAAAATTTAAAAAAAGTACTCAAAAGACAGCTTCAAAATTTTGGAATTGTGTCCATAGGTAGGAACAACTTTCTCCATAACTCGCAAACTGCATCTCTAATGTGTGAAATTCACAGCAGTTAAAGCTTTGAGACTACTGGGGTTCAGAACAAAACTATAAAAAGAACAGCACAACATACAATTAAAACCCATAGTCACAGCACTCCTATCACCAAATACAATCAATGCACATCATCAATGTTTGTAACACCGTTTCACATTACGTTCAAATAAATATCCCTCTCCATTCAATACATTACAAGAAGGCCAAATAAAACAGGCAAAAGTAAATAAACTGGTGTGAGGTAAAATGTTAGTGCATGCACTGATTACACTCTTTAGTGCTTATAATACATCAGCATGTATATAAAAGGGAAATTCTGTATTATTGGAAGATCAAGTAAAGAAACAAGAGTTAAAAAAAATCTAAGATTTATAGCTGCAAATTGCAAAGAAGAGTTATCAAACTAACTGTAATGTAAATAACTAGCAATGCAATTTAAATTCTATTGCATTTTTTTTTACCCCAAACAGGGCATAAAAAAATGACAATATCCCGATTGCTTGAACTAATTAGGCTAGGATAAAACCCAGTGACTACATGCTGAGTTGAGCACATCATGTTTGCATGTTCAAGCACTGATACAAGGCCATCAAAACCTACTTCTTAGATACGATTAACTCAATTTATTGCCAAGATAAGCCAAGTACCTGCCAGGCAGTCATCTAGAGGCTATTTTCAAGCCTCAGCGTCAGCACAGCTAATAGTAACAAAATATATTACAAGGCAATATGCATATTGTACACAAACATTGTACTTAAGATCTCTTGACTTGTAACCGTGCTATACGAACACGGAGGCATCTGACTGGTCTGCAGAAGAACAGAGTTTTCGAAGAGTCTTTTATGAACGATCTACCAGATGCCACAAAAAACTGTACACAAGTGTGCTCGGTGCTCGGATACAGCAATACTGGTTTTTACGTTTTATCTGGTTGTTAAACTTTGCAGTTCATTTGAATAAAAATTTGTCATGGTGCCGTTTTTGAAAGCATCTTCACTTTACATCTAATGCTTAAAGTCTGTGCTCAATACTGTATGAAGCAAATATGTTTTGCGAGGATTACTAGCTTGTAGAGAAGGTCATGCTTTGTTTCAAGTCAGAGGAAACACTGAAGCTGGAAATCAGAGAGACAAGATCATAACAATGCAGGCTGAAGAAGAACAGTAAATCGCAAGACCTGTTAGCTTATAACTACTAAGTTGTTGAAATTTTTAAATGGAAATGCGCACATGGTGACCAGTCGTCACACTTCAAAGTCCCACAGAGTTAAACTAATGCTACAACTAGTGATGGAGCTTTGCAGTGGCTGCCAGGATGATGGCAGCACATAATCGCAACACTCCCAGAAACCTGTCCAGCTTCTGCTCAGTGCTTAAGCGCTGATGCAGTTTCAGCTAAAAAAAATAAATAGTGACATTACCAAGAAACATCCAAGGTCGTTCTTTTCCCCTCAATAAACCTGTAGCTAATGTGAGGCAATAAAGGAGGGATGAGTGTGTACACAAATGCAACACCTTGAGGCTGGCCTTAAGTGTTTTCACAAATTAGTATTCCATGCAATGAGCTGTGGTTAGGGAATCATTTTCAATCCACAGCTATACAAAACCGTTAATAAATTAATTAGTACATTCAAAACGCATATAGACGTTGGGATACAGTTCATAATACTAGTTGGGAACAGGAATGTTAAAATTCCAGTATATTGGTTTGAAATGTGACACTTTCAAGGTCCGTCAATCCTGCATTCGGTATGGTTAGTAATGAATCATACATGAATAAACACGACGAATTTGACACAAAGATTCCCACAAAACAGATTCTGTATAGTGTGTACTTGATGAAGCTTTTCAGAAATTAATAAATAAAAATAGATTAGTGTTGGTTTTTCATTTCATGATTCCTGAAAGATTTTCTCGTGAGTTCCTATCATTAAAAAAGTCAAAACATAATAACATCAATAACTATTATTGATTCATTTACAATTCTACTACCAACTGCAGGAATGGAGAAAAAAATGTTTGCAGTTCATACAGTTTCTTTCTTACAGTACTCTTGGCTGCAAAATGATTTTAACCTCCCAAAATTGTACTCACATTGCACACTGTGACCCTGTGTGTGTGACAGTGAGGTTTTTTTTGTACTTGACGAAGAGGCACAAACACAGATTCTGTATAACGTTGTGTTATGGGCCATATACACAATCCTATGCTGGGAGTTCTCCATTCACAAGTCAGAATCTCAGCCACTCACACAGTTGTAAAAAAGGGGAGAAGTGGAGAGTAAAAAAAAAAAAGGACAGTGAATTAAGATAGACAAAATTGACAAGAAACACATTGATTAATGCATTCCGTTTGGTTCTGATGAACACAAACCACTTATGGAGAGACGACTCATCCTACACTCCCATGTTTCAAACACAACGTGAACATCACTGCTCAGATTCTGACCTGCGATATTTGGCTCGTCGTGGACTCAGCGGTTTGCGAGTTGCCGCTGCAGCAGCAAAGCTGACAAGGCAACAGAGGGAGATGGCAACAAGCTTCGCTGTGTCCATCCAGCCCAAGGTAGCAGTGAAGTAGCACTCGGCCAGGCAGAGGCACAGGATGAAGAACCACAGGACAGACGCTACGGTATCGATTCTCCTCAACCTGCAAATGCAGCAAGACATGAATAAAATAAAAAATTAAAAAAAACCTGCACTTAAACACCGTGTCCAAAAGATGTGGTGGCATCTTACCTCATCGGTCCTGCTAAGATGACAGCAGACAGACAAGTCAAGAGGCCAACAGAAACTACAGCTAGCTGGTTGTCTCTTCCAAGATGCCACACTAGCTTGGCATTTTCCAAGGCCTTGTCTGGGACCAAGTCCAGCAGGCTTTGCCATACAGGTGTGGACGCGGTGTCATTGTTGGAGGTGGATTCATTCTGGGCCTTGGGCTTTGGAGGAATGACCCCCCCGCTTAATGTTGGTAGGCCATTAGTCGAAGCAGGCTGATCAGGCAGCTCACAGAAGGATGTAGCAACTACAAAAGCACATATCAGGAAGGCAAGGATCCGCAATAGTATGACCCCCGTGGGAGAAGACGGAGACTGGGAGCTCTGGAGGAGACAAAACAGTATATTTTTTTAAATTCTGACATTTTCAAAACGCATGGAAATTAATAAGCAAAGATCATTGTTGACATATTATAAGAGGCAACAATACACAACGGAGGAGTGAAGCAGATGTTTTCACTTTGAATGCACTAAATTAATGAAAGTGGGGGGGGGGGGCAAAACTCTTTTTGCATTAAATTTGGACGATATAGTGAGGAACTGTCAAAGACAGAGAAATGGTATGTATTTATTAGGAAAACCGTTACTGGTATGAGGAAGACTGTTTCAATCATTTAAATTCTATATGTGACTTAATTCTTTAAAACAGCGTGCAGTATCATGAATCACCTAACCATCCACTAAAGCAGGGGTGCCCAATCCTGGTCCTCGAGAGCCCCTATCCAGCATGCTTTAGATGTTTCTCTCTTCCAACACACCTGATTCAAATGATCAGCTCATCATCAAGCTCTGCAGAAGCCTGATAACAATCCTAATCATTTGAATCAGGTGTGTTGGAAGAGGGTAACATCTAAAACATGCTGGATAGGGGCTCTCGAGGACCAGATTTGGGCACCCCTGCACAAAAGCAACCAGTCCTATCCAAATGTGGTTTAAATATCCTTTTGTTCAGATCCTCACAAAGCCTGATGTTAGAGGTGCTGTCTAACAACTGGCTGGTTGAGAACTCTGCACGTTGCCCACTTCAACCTGCTTGTGTTGCTATGCTGCTCTCCTTAAGGACAGCCAGGATCCACACTGCCAACATCTCACTGCATATGAGAGTAAAAAAGTCAAAGTACATCCGGTCACATTGGTGAAATACTGTCTAGACACCAGGGTTGGAAGAATTAACTAAAGCTCTTAGCTTCAAGAATCTATTATTTCTCCTCCATTTATCTAATTACAAAAAGATCAAGGTTCAAATCATTCAGCAACAGATTTAGCTGATCGTCATTTTTACTGTTTAAAAAGACAGTTTTGAACCTGGGCCAGGATTTTTATTTATTTTTTGTAGCATTTAGGTAAATATAAGGATTTGACACTAACAGAGGTATCCAGTATTAAAGGCCTTGAATCAGGTCCAAGAAATAAATCATTTCTTTGAGATGTGGGAGCATCTTACCTGGTTAACAATAAAAGGATTACATCAAAGGCAAAACAACAGACTGGAACTAACCAAAAATTGTGCTCTTTTGTTTAAATGTCAGCAAATTGTGACATATGTGTTGTGTATGAATAAGCACTAGGACATCGCAAAATATAAATTAAAGCAGCTTCTGGTTCACATTGTCAAAAAGAGATGTCAACAATACAAGCTAAAGAAAAGAATTGAAAGATTAGATGCCTTTGTCAGAAGTGTGTGTATATTTCACTGACATGCTACAATGTCAGAGAATGCAGGGATATCTTGTGAAATGAAAAGCTTTCACAATAAGCACTGTAACCTCTCCCATGTTCTGACTTTCAGTACAGTTTATATACATGTTTTTAATGATCAGGTCAACAATTTTCCTGCAGGACAGGATCGTGCAGCAAACTTGCTTCTTGGTTATCATCAATACCTAATTTCAGATTTATCTATAAGGTAAACATCCTGCGTGCCATAGCCGCTTGTTACTCATAAAAACGTACTTTTTCTTGTGTAAATTCAATCATTCCTATATTCACAGACGTTGCTTGTCAAGGAGCCTTTGGATTTGGGTTTGACTTACCTTTACAAACCCCATGTCTGATTCTCGAGTGCGCCGAAGCTGATGGTTTAGGAGCACTGTACGAAGCTGGCGGTTTTGATATTTAATGTAATACTCCACTGCTGCCTGACATGGTCTGCATAACTTGTAGGTCTGCTCCAGGTGGTGTTTGTAGGCTTCGATTTCCTCATCATAGTTCTCCTACAACAGGAAGAAAATACAAATTCAGCCTTAAGAACCATATCAACATGTGGTGTGTTCATATGAGTTGACGAGAACTAAGAACATACTTCATCTCGAGGGATGTATGAGGCCAATTGCTTGATCTTTGCAGACTGGTTATTATTGCACTTCCTGCAAAGCAGCATCTGACAGTTGACCCACTGAAGAGTCTTGGGCGTCTCAGAAGAAGGAAGGCTTCCAGATACGCCATGATTCAGATGTTCCATGAACTGAGCTGGGATGGGTTTGTTGTAATCCCCATTCTGCAAAACAAAGACGGATGGAAAAAAAAAATAGAATATAAAAACACAGCCAAAGAAACTAATTTTATAAATGTCACAGACTTTAGGATCTTACCTCCTGGAAGCCATTGTACTGGTCACAGTTAGGACAATCCCAGCAGTTTCTGTTCCCATAGGGGACTACTGTGTTCTGATTGCAGAACCAGCAGTTGACATTTGCATGGGTGGGCTTCTTTCTGTAACACGAAGCAAAACCATTTTTTCATGTTAGTCAAACCTGCTGGTGCATATTTCCCACAGTGTGGAACAGAGGCTATGTGGGGTGGTTCCATAGTTTTTCCAAGCAGAATTATTCAGCTTATATAGTAATTGGAGTACTTAGTCTAAAGAAATTTGATTTGATTTTAAATTAACCTCAAACTGAGAGCTTGTGGCGTTTCTAAGCTTGGAAAGTTGAAATATTTTTATAATCAAGTCAACATTTTTAATGAAATGGACACAATAATTTCCTGAGACCAAAAGCTAGAAAGTCGTTGCAATGAAATAGTAAAAAAAAAATATCACTGTTGATCATAACCTTGTGAAGCCACGTAATCCTACAAATGTTGCCTCAGATTTCTTACTGTTTAAATGTCTGTGAAAAGCGCACGCAATGAAATGTCTGATGCCAGTCTTTCTGAACACAACCTAAGCTAAGTGAATATGCAGCAATACTGTTAGTCCTGGAAGAATACAGAACTAAATATTTTACAAATAGATCCTTAACTAAATAGTTCTGTTTGTTTATTTTAGGAAAGTAAGAATACAAATGAAAAAAACTGCTGTGAATCTATTCATCCGTCATTCTCACTATTTAAATCAGGGGTCTCGAACTCCGGTAATCGAGGGCTGCAATCCTGCAAGTTTTAGATGTTTCCTTCTTCCAACACACCTCAAATGATCAGCTCATCATCAAGCTCTGCAGAAGCCTGATAACGATCCTGATCATTTAAATCGGGTGTGTTGGAAGAGGGAAACATCTAAAACTTGCAGGATTGCGGCCCTCGATTACCGGAGTTCGAGACCCCTGATTTAAATCCTTTGAGAAAAAGGACACTTGATCAAAGGCATTGTTATACTGTTTGGTTAATCTGATCAGCAGCAGTGCACATTGTGTGCATGAGTGCTTCCTATATAAAATGTGAGTGAACTAATCATTGAAGTGACCAACCTTAAGAAGAATTTCCCTCTGCATTACTAATGCTCTCACTTAGGCTGCAGTTGTGCACAGATTAACATTTATTATTCAGTTGGGGTGTTGTGTTCTGAGACTTAATGGGTGATTTTTCCTTTCCTTTCAGCAGAACTTGCCTCTGTTCTCTTGGACTACATAAAAGGTCGGTCACCCAAATTACTAAGAAATTATTTGTAAGAAAACAACCATTTCTGAGGCACACCTTTAGATGTGATTTTTAGCTATGCAAATGGTATTATCACGACAAATTCCAAGGCACACAATTTGAGCTCTGATGAACTCACTGTCACACAAAAGTGGTCATGTGGTTGACCTCCCTTTGCCCTAAAGCTCAAGGTCTCACATTTTATATTCTTTTTACTGAGGAATAATTTAAACTGTGCAAATCTTGGGAAAATACGTAAGAGTACTGGACTGGGCTGAGCCAAGAATGTGTCAAGTTCCCAACAACACCTGTGCATGCACGCTGCAAGCAGGTTGCAACAAATTATAAACAGCTGCCAGGTTAAATTGCCGTTAGCCAATGTGTGCACTTGTAAACTGCTTAGCATCAAGTTAGTTAGCTGCACGGCTAGAAAAGTTAACACTCTGACTAGTGGGCATACACAGCATTTTCCTGACAACATTGTGCCTGGGATGTCAAAATATATCGAACAACTAGTGACATTTGCAGACACGGCTTGCTAACTGTTGCTAACGCGAACCTAATGTTAGCTAAAAACATACGCTTTACCTGGTGGCTATCTTGTATATCAGCGCCCAGCCGGCTACAAACGCGGTAGCTCCGACTCCGCTGTACATTAATCCGGGATATTCCAGTAGCAGCTTGTTGAACGTCTCCATGTGCACCGAAATTAAACCCTGCATTTTAATTACACCGCAAAAACACAGCGCGGGAGAACACGAGGCCAGCAACTCCTATTGTTACCGCCCTTTTAAAGGAAACGGAAACTACGTCACCACTTGGACGCGTTCCAATATGCTTCGGTCCCTCTTTCCTGCCCACTGTACTGCTAGTTCAACCCACTAATTATGACACTAATGCGTTCAACAACACACCGAGACATCATTGGTTTAATTTAAAGCAGCAATGCTTACAGAAAGAGAGAGTAATCAAACTTTTGTTGACTTTACACTACCAGCAAAGTAGTAAACAGGAGCTGTGAACAGTGTTGGAACGTAGAAAAAAGTCCGTGTCATTTTCCCTCCCGTGATTTAAACATCTGGTACTAGAACTAGTCACTACTCTTATCAGTACATAAACAACAGATAATCCCCTATACTCCAACTTTATTTTTATACTACATAAATCTGTCTTATTATGCCTTATCTGATCAAGAGCTCAGAATCATTCATTATCATTACAAAATGCTAATAGGGCAGAAATGAAAATGCTACAGAACTTGCCTGAGAATAATCACGTTTTAAGGTTTTCATCAGTATTTAGGCAATTTACTGATATTTTTCAGTACATAATGGTAGCCTACATAGTAAAAATAAACTGTTAGCTAATTCGGCGCAATAGTTTTCCAAAATGGAACTATGGGCTAAAAACGTAAAGTATATTTGGAGAATCAAGTATAAAGAGAGTATACCTACACTCGTATGTATTCACTCTGTCATGCCAAAATCATTCTGTTTCCCAGCCTACTAAAGTTTACATTGGTTCACACATATGAACACTTCTTTTACCCTTAACATAAAATCTTCCAAAAACACTTTGTTGAAGAAATAAAACAGTTGTTTTTAGCACCATAATTTGCAGGCCTATTTATATACAGTCGAACTTCTCAAATATTAATAACTGACACTCACCTTAACATTTTTCTCATTATTACAAGATCCAGATCACATGAAGAAATATGACATCTGTGTCTTTTATTGTCTGAGATAACAGGATAAGTAATAAGAATACATAAAAAATAAAAAAATAAAAACTAATTGCTGTGGAACATTAGCCTACCTAGTTACTGAATTATGATAAAGGATTAAAAGGGAATAATAGTAGTAATAATAATAATAATAATAATAATAATAATAGTAGTAGTAGTAGTAGTAGTAGTAGTAGTAGTAGTAGAAGAAGAAGAAAGTAGGTCAATGATGGAGATCATGTGATGCAAAAATAACATTTTATTTCAAACAAACGTGATGTATTTTACATCCAATAAACATTCAGAATCGAATAAGAAAACTGGTCAGTGCTTCAGTGTCATCAACTTTTATAGCAGCTCAGAGAAACCATGCAAAGGAAAGAAATAAATAACTTGGTAAAAAAAAATGCATAGACCTATTCAATAATATTAATAATAATAAAGGGGAAAAAATCCAGAGGTTTAGCCTGTTTAAAACAATTATTCAACAAAAGAGGCCTCGTTTTTAAATCCACTGTCCTCCTCAGAGAGCTGACAGTAATTCTTTGGCTTCTCAAACTTGAGCCTGAACACAAACCAACAGCTTATTTAACAGCTCATCAACAGTCAGTGATTCTACATCATGGTGTAAAGCTAACATCAGCTTTACCTGGCGAACAAATCACAGCCGCACTGAAATGCCGAAACAGGTGAACTGCGACTGTGTGTGTGCTGGATGTCTGGACCTCAGAGCCCGTACTGGTCCAGTAGATGCGCCTCCGCTTGCCGCCCGAACGAGGTGAACTGCTGGTAGTTGCAGCCCACCGACACGGTGCCTCCGTCCGGGCTCATCGGCTGGGTCACTCCCCCGTACGGACACCCGTTGTGGGGAACCAGCACGGGCGGGTGGCGGTGGTAAGCGCCGTAGGGAGGGTGGTGGAAGTGCGGGGGCTGGCAGTAGGGGCTCGCCGGGCCGCTTGGGGACGCGCTCCGGCTGATGGGTGGGTACCCGGCCGCCTGGGACGAGCCGGGCGGGCACAGGCTCCAGGAGCCGCTCACGTACGGCTGCAGGTAAGAAGGCACGCTGGGGGGTCTGTACGGTCTCCTCACCCTCCTCCTCCGCCGGTAGTTCCCCTTCTCAAACATGTCCTCAAACGCGGGGTCCAGCATCCAGTAGTTGCCCTTCCGGTCCCCTCCGCTCTCCCTGGGCACCTTGACGAAGCACTCATTCAGAGATAAGTTGTGCCGTATGCTGTTCTGCCAACCCTTCTTGTTCTTCTCATAATAGGGGAAGTTTGACACTATGTACTGATAGATGCCGCTCAGGGTTTGTCTCTTGTGTTGGCTGTCTTTGATGGCCATGGCGATGAGAGCCACGTACGAGTACGGAGGCTTCCCCGGCTGCTGGCTGCTCTCCTCCGCGTCTCGGGGCTCAGTAGAAGGAGGCGAGTTGGAGCTGATGTCCAGGAGCTGCAGTCCCTGCTCGGCGGGCGGCTTTTCCTCTACATCCATGGCTCAGGTAATCCGGCTTGCGCGTCCTGCTGCGTGTCCACAACAAGCTGCTGTGTGCCGATAAGCAAGGCAGCGCTGGGAGTGCGTCCGCAGGTGCAAACACTCCTCCCACTGTGCGCCAGAGCGCAGCTGGCTGTGCCGCTTTCATCTCACCGGTCTCCACGCTCCTCCTGGTCCTGCGTGGGTCTGCGCTGAGGTTGAAACAAGGGTCACAGCAGCGTGTTTTTAGCAGCAGTCAAAATATTCCCACACCATCAAAGACTGATATTCATACATTGTGTTAAATGTTTAGCATTGAATGCATCATTGACGATGTTTTCACTTTTAAGTCGCTGGACGAAAACAAGAGATTTTTAAAAATGCTACAACACACTTCACCATGTCAAATTCAGTATCAGCAGCTTTAATCAGCAACTTTTTTTTTTGGTTATTTATCACAAGTTCTAGATGCAATGCTCTTTTATCTGTTTTATTTATTCTCTCCCTCTCACACATTTACACTGATTCCTACTCTCCACTGTAAAAAACAAATCTATCATAATATGTGGCTGTAAGGTGCCTGAAGAAAAGACACTGACAAACGGTGCAACACTGTAATGTTCAAAAACAGTGAGAATAAAGGATCTGTAAAATACGAATATTTTTTTTAGCTGATTGAAACACAGTAAAACTGGTTGCTTTTACAGCCACACCTTGTAAAAGAATAAAACTGTAAAAATGCAGATGTTTGTGTTAGTATTCACAATTTTTCTCCACTTGTATATTAATATTTATACATTTTTCCCCTGTAAATTATACTAAATATTATCTATAATGTAAAAAAAAACAAAAAAAAAAAACAGGGAATATCTGTAAAATAACAGAAAAAATATGCAACATTCTCAGCCCTTAATATATTAAAATTTTCTTTTAAATGACAACAAATATGTTTAAATTAACATTTGTCTTTTTTGTGTGTTTTTTGTATTTTTCTGATGGTAAATACAGTACAAATATGTGCAATTTTAAGGTCCAGCATTGTAAAATAATGAATTACCATTTGTAAAAATTCTAGATTGAGACATTATTTACAAATTTTTTTTCAGTCAATATGTAAATTAATACTTTTATTATGTGATTTTGACAAGATATTATCTGTATTTTACCAAAACATAGTAAATTTGTAACAATCATTTTAAAAACTGTTTTAAAAAATGATTTATCAGTTTTCAATCATAATATATATATATTAGAGATGCGCCGATCCGATACTGGGTATCGGTATCGGGCCGATACTGGACGAAATTACGGTATCGGATGATTTACTTCACAGTGGTAACTCGCCGATGCGATACCGGATCGGCCACACACACACACACACACACACACACAATCCTGCCTTCCGACACATCCACGTGTTCGTCTGCTCATTGACAACAAGTGTACAGCGCCAGCGAGTGTCTGCAACCCGACTGGTCGAATCTACAAGGGTGGAACTTGTCCGTACCGGGTTGACTATCTGAGATACTCCATTGGCCCTTCAGGCTGTCACTCACCCCCAAAGCCCTCCTATTGGCCAAACTAGGTGTCAATCAAAAGCTGAGACGTCCGTCTAGCTGCCTGTAGCGCTTTCAGCGCGATCTAAAATAGATTCAGGCTGATTTTGCCAGAAGAAATGAATTAAACAGGCAGAGCTGATCTCAAGCTGGGAAGAATTTGTGCCTTTGAGGATCTAGTACGTTTTACGGACCGAATTATTTTACTGGATTATGTTCGCTGGTTCTGTCCGGACAGAATGAGACCAAACTGGTGAGGAATGAGCGATGTTTGAGCTGCAGAGAGCCTTCAAAAGTAAGAAAGCTCAGATTTTAACATTTTGCTTTTCTGTACAAAAAGCTCTTTGTGTCAACGCTGTGGTTGCTGCCGGTCAAAAATGTTTATATCATCGGAAAGAGGAGACTCTGAGCTTTCATTTGATGTGTATGTTGTCGGGAAACGTGATTGTGGAGCATGCGCACATCTGGCTGTAATGTTTTTGGAAAGTGGTCCCGCCGGCGGGACGTGGGAGCAGTAAGGGGTTAAAAATACTCTTCTTAAATATATATATATTTTTTAAATTGGAAGTATGTTTTGAGTGAAATCACCCTTTAAAACTACGTCGCGCACCCGAACTAGAAGCCGTGCACTTATCCGGCCGTAGAAGACGAGTCCAGCCCTCTACGTGCAGCCCTCTACCAGCAGCCTGTACGTGGGTCTCCGGCTCTGCAGACACAACCTTCCTATTGGATCTGATCCCGCAGCAGGTCACAACGTTTCCGGCCTCATTTACTACTGCTCATGCGCAGAGCCGAGAGCGGCTATTCGTGGTACTGTTATTTAATACCAAGTTTTGGTAATTTAACCTTTAAATTGCAGCTTAATGTTGCTGTGTCATTTTGATCTGTTCTAAATATGTGAATGGC